TTTAATGTGATGAAAATGCTTGCTTTTCATTTGTGTCATTGGTTGATGAATTAGTTAGTGTTACAAAATATTCATATTATAATTATATTGATTGGGTTCACATTATAATTTATTGATATAATTAAGTTAATTGATTTTGTATCATAAAATATTTTTTTGTACATGATATTAAATAAGGAAATTAAAAAAGAAAAAGTTTCTTTTTTCATATATCTTTATATTTTTTTTCTTTATTTTTTTATAATGATATCATAACCTTGAGGCTTTTTTTATTATTACTGTTCATCTCCTTTGTAAGTTACTGCTTTACTTGTAGGTGGTGTTTATCATCATCATCTTTGCTTTTTCTTGGACTTATTTGCAATTGTGTTTTCTTGATCTTGTTCCTTTGTTGCGCTGAGAATACGTGTTACTCCCATTGCAGTGTTGCTCCAACCTTCTCGCATCCAATTGTTGCTAATTTTGCTCTTGATTTCCTACCACTAGTTTTGCTCTTGATTTCTCACAATTGAACTTTCAACATTGCTGTTGCTCAAATCTGATATTGCCTCCTTCTCCTTAAAAGGCGTTAACTGCACCGATCTACATATTCAATATGCAGATCTTTTCACCAAAAACTTATTTTCTTGGATGCTTCTACACTCTTCTTTCCAAACTCAAGCTGGTCTCCTCATCACCACCTTAAATTTGAGAGAGATGTTACATAATATTCATATTATAATTATGTTGATTGGGTTTACATTATAATTGATTAATATAATTAGGTCAATTGATTTTATACCATAAAATATTCTCTTGTACAGATCTATAAATAAGGAAATTAAGAAAGAAAGAGTTTTTTTTCTTCATGTTGACTCAATGTACTCCAAGAGGGGGGGTGAATTGGAATTCTAAAAATTCTCCCCTTTTTGCAACCACAACACCCAAATTAAAGAGAGTAGAGAAGAAGAGCTTGCTCAATGATTTATAGAGGTTCGGTCCAACCACTTGGAGCCTAGTCCTCTACCTTGGCTTCACTCACCAAGGATTTCCTCCACACTCTCCACTAACAACAACAAGGGTGGCTTAAAGGAGCCACTCAATCCTTTTACAGGAATAAGGGTGTTTCTTTCAAATCTCACCCCTTTACAAGATAAACCCCAGAGATCCTCTCTACAGATCACTCTTGAAGGAATCAACACACCCCAAGATCACTCACTAATAGCACAAGAAGAGGATTACAAACAAAGATCTCTCAAAGATTAAAATCTCTAATTAAAGCACAAGTTGGTGGGTAAAAATATTCAATATAATGTTCTCCAAACTTTTTCAGATCTGTTACCAACCATATTTATAGCCCCTTGCTCGAAAATAGTCGTTTCTAGCTGTTAGGAGTCATTAAATGCTCTGCAGGACACAAAGCTCGAGCTGCAGGATTGTCAGGAGAGCTGACTTAACATTCTAGAGTCGGCTCTAAAGAGTCGGCTTACAATTCCAGAGCCGGCTATCCAGGTTTGCAGACCATTCTGTTTTTCTTGAGAGCCGGCTGCAAAACTTTGAGCCGGCTTTGCAACTCCGACTTTAAATACATTAAATAATCTTCAAATGACTCGACCGTTGTGCATTAAATGCACCCTTACAGCTGGCTATAAAGTTGGAGCCGGCTTTGCGTCTTTTCTCCGCACGCGCCAAGCAACGGTCTTCAAATTTTTGCCTGTAGAGCCGGCTGCAGCTTCCAGAGCCGGCTATCTGCACTTCCATTTCACCAGAGCCGGCTGCAACTTTCAAGAGCCGGCTTTCTGCACACTTTGAATCCTTTTGGTCTATTTTTAGTGCAATCCAAGTTTATTTGCAATCTTTTAGTAACTTAACTACATACTTAAATAAACCAATTAATCACTCAAATGTGTTTTGTAATCATCAAAATCATAGGTACAACACTTCATATATCTTTATATTTTTCTTCTTTTTATTTTTCAA